TGGCAGCTCTAATATAAGCCAGTTTAGAATGAAAGACATTGAATACAATAAATTTTATAAGAAATGTTGAAAGCGTTTTGTATGAATGGAGTTACACAAACATAAATATATCCATTTTGCATATAAAATGCAGTTTTCTATATCAGATACATTTTGAAATATTCATTTCAATTCGGCAGTATTATGTTGTTGGTAATGTAAAACAAATAAAATAAAAGGTGCATTTTAAGGCAGAAAATATATTGCACAGTTAATTTACTGATAAATGCCGTTAAAGCTCACAGAAATCAAACATTGGTGCTGAACATTTGTGCATATTTCATTTCAAAATTCCAATAAAGTTTAGAACTATACAAAATTTAACTCCACTTCTAATTTGTGATGAACATGGAGAAAGAAAAGATCATTTTATTTCATTAGCCCAACAAGGTTTAGAACACTTCTAATAATGTGCAGAACAGTAACACACAGCACTTCATTTCATTTCAATAATCCAATAGAACATTTAACTCCACTTCTAACTTTGTGATCTCCACTTCTAACTTTGTGAACTCCACTTCTAACTTTGTGAACTCCACTTCTAACTTTGTGATCTCCACTTCTAACTTTGTGATCTCCACTTCTAACTTTGTGAACTCCACTTCTAACTTTGTGACAAACATTGAGACAAAAAATCATTTCATTTCAGTACCTCAAAGGCACTATACAATAAATTGTACAAGATATACAAATCATTTTGGAATTATCTAATAGGTATAAAGTAATCAGATTATTGTTGTCGATAAGGAAAGTTATCACATTGTTTATTGAATAATAAAAGGAGAATCAATGCCTGAGAAACCAGCACACACCCCACCTTCATTTGTATCAGCTGTTTTAGTTCGTAATAAATGCCCACATACTGTATTATATAACTCTTCTTTTTCATTGCTGAAATATAACATTGAACATCATAAAGAGCATGATCATGAAAAAAGCTGATGATGATAATACTGATTAATATTGATGATAATAATACAGATGAATAATAATAATAATAATAATGATGAAGATAATGGGGATAATAATAATAATAATAGCAATGTTGAGGATGATAAAGAATGAATAATGATGATAATAATACAGATGATTAATAATAATAATAATAATAATGATGAAGATAATGGGGATAATAATGATAATAATAGTAATGTTGAGGATGATAATGAATGAATAATGATGATAATAATACAGATGATTAATAATAATAATAATAATAATAATGAAGATAATGGGGATAATAATGATAATAATAGCAATGTTGAGGATGATAAAGAATGAATAATGATGATAATAATACAGATGATTAATAATAATAATAATAATAATAATGATGAAGATAATGGGGATAATAATGATAATAATAGTAATGTTGAGGATGATAATGAATGAATAATGATGATAATAATACAGATGATTAATAATAATAATAATAATAATAATGATGAAGATAATGGGGATAATAATGATAATAATAGTAATGTTGAGGATGATAATGAATGAATAATGATGATAATAATACAGATGATTAATAATAATAATCATAATGAGGATGATAATGGGGATAATTATAATAATAATGAGGATGATAGTGATGATAATATGGTTAAAAATAAGATGATTCTTGTCATTCTGAAGGAGATAAAGGTTTATTAGAGCTACTAAAATGACCTCTATCATTCATACAGAATAATGAATAATGCATAATTATTAACTATTGGTTCAACCAATGGATATTCTGTTCTTCAATATTAGCTACATATATTTGAATCTTTTCAAATATCAAAGTTACTCACCCAATGTAACAGCCATAAATACCTAACTCAGATATACATTTAGATTTCACCAATGGAGTACCAGCTTTAATAAGATAATTAGTTTGAGTCTGGGGTCGGATCTTCTCCATCAAAATATATCCTGCTCTCTCAGCAGAATTCTCATGTTGTTTTAAAAACTCTACCAGTTCATCATCATACATATTGTGACCTGAAACCATGGCTAAACTTATACAANAGGCATTTCAAGAAATGAGGCTGGCCCAGATTTAGCCCTTTCAGT